TTTTTTCATTTTATTCTTTTTCTTTTCATTTATAGCGGCCTCCTAGTTCACAACTGTCATATGGTGGCGCCATGAACGATGACGCTAGGTCGCCGGGCGCTGGTAGTACACCAGGCCCACTATCACAACAACCACCTGTTTTAGACACATCAGACCCTGGTAAGTGCGGAATTGTAAATTAATTTCAATAGTAAAGAAATGTTTTAGCTGTAAAGGAGGAAGGGAACGTTGAAACTAGGAAATCGGTGGTACTTGAGCTTAATAACTATTTTGGTCATAGATTTTGTTTTAGTGAAAATCTACTAAAGCAGCATTAAACTTGCATTTACAGTTATATTTGATTTTTATTGAATACCTGCCGTACCCACACACATACGTGTGTATGTAAATACCTTTGTACAACTTTTACCTGAACAGAAATAACAGGGCGATTCTGGCAATGGTGAAAGAGAAAGCCATTTTCTGTCTTTGGAAAGACCAATTGAAAATCTACTAGCGGAGAGGTCTTAGCTTTATTCTGTTAGTCTTTTAGCAATAAGTTTTCTAAACGTAACAATAAAAGAAACGCTTAAACACGGCAAAGTTCAATTTACATAATATAAACTACTTCCCTAAATAAAATGTTAATAAAATTAAACAATTTTATTGACCTTGAGGCCACTTCTTTATAACTGCTATTTCGGAGAATACCACATCTTCATGCTCATCAAAGTTCTCTGTAAAAACTATCGGTTGTTCTCCAAGGAGCATGCACCTTCTTCTGATCAATATACCGCTATGTGCTGCGATATTAGCCCCAGCCACTATATTCTCAGCAGAAAGGCAGCTCTGTAAACGGCCAAAATTAGCAGCATCTCGTGTTGTGCCATATTCTTCTAGGCGAGCACAAAAAAATCAAAGAAATGTGTCCGCGTTCTTAAGGAGTATGGATTTATGCCGCCATTTGAAAAACTATATAATCTTCCGATGGTGTGATGACCACGGAACGGATTTTATGGAAATTGCCTTTTTTTCTGCTAAAGTGATACAGTATATTCGATTAAGAATGTCCACTATTTAGTTTTCCTTGATTCCATAAATACACATTTCCCTGATTCCATATATACACATGTTGCCTTTTTTTGCCTTTTCTTGCCTTTTTACCTTTACCCTTTGTAAAGTGCAAGCAAATAGCCCTTAATCCTGATAATATGAAAGTTTTAAATGTTCCATATTCAAATAGGGCGCCACTTGTATCAACTCACGTCGAGCGCACGTTTAGTACATTCAAGGCTTTTCTTCGCGAAAATCGAATGAAAATGCTTTTGAAATGCATCTTGTGGTTCAATGTTACTACAACTATTAAGATAAAATTTTTGTGAGTTCCAAACTCGAAAGAAGAAAATAGTCAAAGATTCAAAGTACAAATTTTTCATATAAGGAAACTAGTTCATAGTTTTTCACTTTCTACTTGCAAAATTAAAAATTTATAAAATAAATGAGGTTGTTCACACTTACCTAGTTATCAGTTTATCTGGTTAAAAATTATTATTATGTAGTGTATTTTATGTATTTTATTGTTGTAAATCGAATAAAAAATATAACCACATAACCAGAAAATCTGATAACCAGGCAAGTGGGAACAACCGCAATGGTTTTTTTTTGATTATTTTTCGGTTTTGTTTTATTTGTGTGTCTTCTTTTGCATTTTTTGCGGTTTCTGGTGCCTTGTCCCGCCTATTTCGTTATTCTATTTTGCCTTTTTAAAGGTTTTTAAGTCCTAAATATCCATTCGCTGGTGATAGCTTTTGCACCACTATGCATATGTACTAAAGTAATAATTGTTTTTAAGTTTGAAACCAACGTTTTTTCACATAAGAACAAAAAAAAAATCTTCATTTAGCTTAGCAGCAAGAATTGTGACACAAAGCCTTCAAATTTTTTTCTGGATAGCACTTGCATGCTTCTAAAAAAAAATACCCTCTTTAATGAGCATCATTAAAGCAACAATGTTGCCTGAAGCAATTTTGCATACACTTAATTAAATTTCCAACACCTAAACGCCATTTGAGCGATAAAATTCTGCCGCAAAACCAGCTAGCTGACCAGATTTAAGTAGAATTTCGCAGTCATAAACATTTGTAGAGTACGCGGATTATATCTACTAGTAAATCAATAGTAGGTATTAGTCTTGCCTAATAAACTTCAACATAAATTCATCATTTTAATTACTTTAGTAAAATTGCGACACGCCTAGTTTATGTACATACATACATATTTCCTTAGTAGATATGTATATATACATATATTTAACCTAGTATTCCAAAAGTTCGCGTCAGTAACAAAGAACCAAATAGAGCCCAGCCGCAGTAGTAAGCGTTGTGATGGCGGCAAACTTTAAACAACGCACAATTGAGCGCAAAATTTTTGTGTCTGAAAATAAGATTCATAAAATCTTAAAAAAGAAGTATTAAACTAAAAGTGTAGCAAAGCAAAGAATGCCTCCAAAGCTGAAAATCACATTTTTATGATTTTTTACAGCCACTTTTGGGCGCTTAAAGTTGTAAGCTGCTTTGTGCGCAAAAACATAAAAAAGCCAACACGACAAAAAAAAAAACACTTCAACAAAAAAAAAAACTGAAACGAAAACGATCTGTGAAAACCTTGTGCTATTCACCAATGATGTGGCAGACAGATGGGCGCGCATGTGCGTCTGCGCAGAAAATGCATTATCACTGCCCTGTTGTTGAGGCGCAGTGCACCGCGCGCGCAGCTGCAACAATGGACGCCCGGCTGTAATGTGCCTGTAAGTGGATACAAAGCTGTGGCGCAAGAATAAGCACCAACGTGCGCGTAGCTACAATTTTTGCCTATCACCGTAAATAATTCATTGCGTTGCTTTGCCGCTGACGTAGCGCTGAGGTAGTGAAGTAGTAAAGGTGAAGGTGTATGCGCGTGCACTCCACCTACCTTCGAAATAACGCTGAAATAGTACTCGATAGAAAAGATGCGCTTTAAAACCTCTGTTTTTCTTTTGTGTTCGTTTTATAGCTGGCAAGTATAAATGTTGTGTGAGTCCGATTTTTGAAGTGCTCCAAAGGTGTTGCTGTAACAATTGTTTTCATCTTTCATCTCTTTTAAGCATCTGTCTGCTTGTGTGTGTATGTATGATTTGTGGAAGTAAAGTGCAGTGAATGGAGTCCTACATTGCGCGGGCCATTTTCAAAGAGCTTTTCTTGAAAGTGTAGCTGCCGCTGCAATAGAGACAACAGCAGTGGCTCACTGCGGGTTTGGCGGCAAAAGTGCCAACATTCAAGGGCTTACCAGTTGTAGTATCTTACTGTTTTGGAGAATTTAATGTGTTGAATGTTTTTATTGGTTTTGTTTTTGTCTCACGATTTGACGTAATTTTTGGAAGCACTGCTAAAGTTTTGCCCCCCCCCCCGGCTAGGCACTTATATAACTGGGTGGTTGAATACAAGTGTAGCAATATTTTGTAGTGGCGTCGGACTGTCTGCTAAGTTGGAGTGAAAGTTATGGTGAAGTTATGTACTCACTTTATCAATTTTCAAAAGGGTAAGTGAAGTGGAGTGGTTTCTTGGAACAAAATAATTACTGCTCAAAAATATGCTGAACACCAGTTTTTGCTGCTGAGCCTAGTTCAGTAGATAAACGCTCAAACGCTATCCGTAAAAGTTAAACAAAAATTTTGGTTCAGTAAATTAAAGGCCACTAGCGAATATCGCATAGCTTTAACCTATTTATTTATTTATTTATTTTTTATTGTAGAAAACGCATGTGCTATACGTCAAAGAATGTTAAAACTTCAATAACATACAACAACCACAACAAACTCTGTTGTAGCTTTGAAAAACGTATTTTCTTTTTAACCGACTTCGAAACGAGGAACGTTATTAATGCACCGAAGTATTTTATTTATCTACATATATTACCGTATAACTTTGGACAACGTGAACCGTTTTCGATACCTTTGGTACCTCTAGGGTGGTCTCACGTTAATTTGGTTTATTTCCGATCATTTCCGCCATAACGAAATTTCGTATTTTGATAGTTCTCATCCACACAAGTACTCATCTACTGAGACTTGTGTCTCGGGGTCTTCCTATATATGCGAATTCGAGGTGATTTTATTAACAACATGGCCTAGAGCAAGGATCCTAAGGCGGTTATGATGAATTTCGGAAGTAGTCAAGTGATAAACTTCTTTTCTTTCAAATTGTATACGAATCTCAAAAATTCTCCGAAGGCAAGCAAGGTGCTTTATTTATCAAATTTGGTAATTTATTTTTCAATTTGGTAACTTTTTTGATTTGGTCCTGCATGACACATAGGTCAATACTTAATACGGATCTGATTCCACATTAGGAAGTGGCCGATTAAGCGTATCCTTTTAAAGAAATACCAGGTAATTCTGAAAGTTTCGCAAGGCGAAGTTTTGCAAGCGTTCAGTTCATCAGCTTTGCAATTTCTATTAATATTTCGGTGTGCCCCGGGAACCATATGATTAGAATTCTATGTAAGTATGTACTTATGTTCTCGTTCAAAAAGCTGCGGCATTCAGTTGGGTACTTCACCCTCGAAAGCTTTCAGGACTGCCCTCAAGCGTTGAATTTTTAAAATATTTTCGGCCTTAACTGAAGTGCTCCAAAGTTTGGGGATTAAGTAGCCTCATAAAAAGTTCAATATTGCGAAGTCAAGATGATCTCAGTAGCAAAAGGACATCCCTTCTACGGAAAATTGTGCGTCTAATAATCCTCTGTTGCAACGAATGCTATAAATGACACTGAATGATCAGATGCCTTCAGTTGTTTTGTGGCCTGAGCTTTGTAAGTATGGAGATGTATATCCAAATCAAAAATATACTATTATAAACCATAAGACAATACCATGTTCTTAAAACAACGCCCAATCGACAAGTTCGTTCCTTCGTCCACACTTCGATTGGAAATCCACACCAAACATTTCTGATGTGGTGGTTTTCAGGATGCACGCAGATACATATAAAAATTAAATCTGAATGAAGCGCTGATTGTCTGAAAGGCTTGCTGTCTTCAGATATATGTACAGACATATGTATCAATGTACAGTTCCGCACATAGCATAAGTTTGGTAATTTTTGTTGAATTTGGAAACTTTTTCTGGGGATTTTGGTAAAAAGA